ATCTTAAAGTAACCTTATTTATTGCTTATATTTCCCCTGAAGATAAGCGTTTCTCTTCATGCTTCAGAATAAACTATTACTTTTTCCATATCATTAAATGAATTGTTTTTTTAACATGGAGCTATCATTCCTCAATGATTATTTTGTTACTCAACTCTTCTTCTTTAGCTCTGAACTTGGATTCACCTGGGAATTCTTCGGACAAGCACATCCCTAGGATTAATAGTGACAGTGAAGTGCAAGATATTCAGTCGCAATCTGATGGTTCTGAATCACGTCGATTTCATTTGGGTGCGGTAAACAGCACCTATATTCAGCGCGTAGTGGCCATGATGAATTTGGAGAAAGCATTAATATCGTACATGGTGTCGACCAGCAAAGCAATAAAAGTGAGCATTTATTTTCATTTAGAAATGTTGAAAGGGAGGCTAATGATGTAATCTGCTCACATTTTATCTGCTATCATTACAATTAGTCCATTATTAACTTTTCTATATAGTACATGTACATTTTCAACTTGATTTTTCAACACAGGCTCCTACTTTAATCATTAAACTTTAAGCGTTTCGTTTCAAGAATCTTTCGCATTTGCATGAGACCATAATATTTATCAAATTTACTCCTGTTATGCATCTTTAGCAACTGATATATTCAAAGAAATGAGCAACTTAGCCTAAACCAAAAGATGTAAAGAGAAGGATATTCATAAGCTATTTAATTCAAATCGACTTCGTTCTGTCATTGAAAGCTTCATCGTAATATCCTGACTAATTAAGTATTTATGACTTGTAAATTACGAGAAATCTTTTCGTTGCGAACTTAATTTTTTATATGCTTTGTGGATTTGTTTGCATAATGCACCGGGCTAAAAAGTACTCGAAGCTATGAAGATCAAGATGGTGTGGCTTTTGGTATGATCTCAGTCTCTTTTCCATATATAGAAATGGGCAACACGATCGGGTTGTCAAGGCGACTTGGCTTGACGCACCTTTCTGAAGTCCCTGCTATAGTAGTTATCAACGTTCCCAGCGTCGGACCGTGAACTGGCTACATTCTCAGACGTTTCGCCGGCATCGTCAGTGAGTCTTGCTATTTTTAGCGCCAAACTACAACTCATCAAAGAGACGAGTGAAGTCAATCTTTTGACAAACTTTCTGCCAAAACGGTTGTG